AAATTTTACCTGCGTGTGGTATTAATGGTATTATTCAATAATTTCCACATCCTGTGGGGTCACCTTTCTTTGGAATGGATACAAATGTGGATCTCTTCCAGTTAGTTGGCCAGGTAGCTGTCTTCCAATTTACTTGGCATAGATGAGTGTGTGCCTCCTGTGCAGCATCTGCTTGTTGAAACATCTTAACAGGTATTCCATTAATTCCTGGAGCCTTGTTTTTCACCAATTCCTTCAGTGTAGCTTCGACTTTCTTCTTTCAATTCCATTGGTTTTTGATCATATGCCACCTCCTGAAATAATTGATATCGACCAATTCTTTTTCGTACAGTGACTCTGTATTTCTTCCATCATCTTTTGATGTTTCCTGCATCATTCGATATTTTGCCCATAGAATCTTTCAATACTGCAACTCAAGGCTTGAATTTTTCTTCAGTTCTTTTAGCTTGAGAAATGCCAAGCATGTTCTTTCCTTCTGGCTTTCTAACTTCAGGTCTTTGTACATTTCATTATAATAACTGACTTTGTCTTCTCGAGCTGCTCCTTGAAATCTTCTGTTCAGCTCTATTATCTTGTCATTTTTTTCCATGTGCTTTACCTATTCGCCATTCAAGAACAAGTTTCAGAGTCTCTTCTGATATCCATTTTGGTCTTTTCTTCCTTTCCTGTCTTTTTAATGACTTTTTGCCTTTTTCTTGTATGATGTTCTTGATGTCATCCATAACTTGTCTGGTTTTCAGCCACTGGTGTTCAATGCATCAAATCTGTTCTTCAGATGGTCTCTAAATTCAAGCAGGATATAATCAAGGTCCTATTTTGGCTCTCATGGACTTGTTTTAATTTCTTCACCTTTAACTAGAACTTGCATATAAGCAATTGATGGTCTGTTCCACAGTCAGCTCTGGGCCTTGTTTTGGCTGAAGATAATGAGCTTCTCCATTGCCTCTCTCCACAGATGTTGTCGATCTGATTCATGTGTATTCCATCTGGTGAGGTCCATGTGTTGAGCTGACATTTATGTTGTTGAAAATAGGTATTTGCAAAGAATAAATTGTTGGTTCTGCAAAACTCCATCATGTGATCTCTGGCAACATTTTTATCACCAAGGCCATATTTTCTCAACTACCAATGATGATTCTTTATTTTCAACTTTTGCATTCCAATCACCAATAATTGTCAATACATGTTGATTGCACGTTTGGTCAATTTCAGACTGCAGCAATTGGTAAAAAATCTTTAATTTTTTCATCATTGGCTTCAATGATTGATGCATAAATTTGAGTATTAGTAGTATTAACTTGTCTTCCTTGTAGGGATATGGATATTATCCTATCCCTGACAGCACTGTACTGCAGGAAGGATCTTGAAACATTCTTTGTGATGATGAATGTGACCCCATTCCTCTTCAATTTGTCATTCCTGGCACAGTAGACCATATGACTGTCTGATTCAAAATGGCCAGTACCAGTCCATTTCAGGTCACTAATGCCTAAGATATCTATCTTTATGTGTTCCATTTCATTTTTGGCAACTTCTGATTTTCCTACATTCATATTTTGTACATTTCACATTCTGATTATTAATGGATGCTTGCAGCTATTTCTTCTCATTTTGAGTCATGCCCTATCAGCAAGGGAAGGTCCTGAAAGCTTTACTCCATCCACATCATTAAGGTCAACTCTACTTTGAGGAGGCAGCTCTTCTCCAACTGTATTTTGAGCACCTTCTGATGAGGGGCTCATCTTTCACCACTATATCAATGTCTCAGGGCTATTCATAAAGTTTTCCAGTAATATATCAGTGTTTCACTGCTATTCATAAGATTTTCACTGGCCAATTCTTTGAGAAGTCAATGGCCCCTTCCTTCTTCTGAGTCTGTCTTAGTCTGGAAGCTCCACTGAAACCTGTCCACCTTGAGTGATCCTGCTGGTATCTGAAATACTCGTGGTACAGCCTCCAGTCCCACAGCAACATGTAAGCCACCACAGTAGGGCAAATTGACAGCTGAGTGGTTGATCTTAAAAATAGTATCTGTTTTTTATGGAAGATTATACTGAAGCTTGGGAGCTCTGGTGGCGTAGTGACTAAGGCATTTGACTGCTAACCAGAAGGCTGGCAGTTCAAACCTACCAGCCACCCCTCAGAAGGAAGACTGGGCAATCTATTTCCATAGAGATACTGCCTCAGAAACCCAAGGAGGGGTCACTGTGAGTCACAAATGACTCGACAGCATGAGTGTGGTTTGGTTTATACTGAACCTTAGAAAAGTTAAGTACCTTGTCTAAAGTCAATGAACTAGGATTTAAAAACAGTTATGTGTGACTCCAGTATCCAAGTGCTAAATACTTTGCTATACTGTCTCATGTATGACAAATTAATGGTGTCCTTCACATATATATACAGCTCTTAAAAATCAGTAATAAACATGAAAGGACCTCCAATAAAAGTAGGCAAAATACAAAAACATGAAATTCACAAAAGAAGAAATATAACTGACCACTGTAAGAAATACTCACTCTCACTAGTACTCAAGGCAGCCAAGCTGAAATAACATGATTTTTCATTGGCAAAGGTGTTTGTGTATTATTTATGTATTGACTTACTGTCCTGGTCAGTGAGTGTATCTGTTAAGGGTATTTGGTTGTGAGCAATGGTACCTGGACTCTGGGTCATTCTCTTCAGCGCACTGCCTTCTCTGGTCAGGGTTCAAATAGAGCCAGTGGACGGAGAGTCTGGGGGGTCTAACCTGGGTCAAGTGCCATCACTGTGATAAAAGACATACCAGATGACTGGTAGCCAAACAATTACAGGAGCCGGAAGCAATGGCTCCACCAAATGAAGGGATGCTGGGCAGACAGAAACAGATGTCTACTGCAGAGTGGGTGGAGGCTCTCATACACGCCTGTACCTCCCCCCTCAAATGCAATTTGACCACATATATGCAAAGCCTGAAAACGCTCAGGCCAGCATTCCCACTTTGACAAATTTGCCCTAAGGAAACAGTCAGAGATGTATGCCAAAATATATGTTAAAAGACTGTTACCACAGCTTTATTTCTGAGTGAAAAACTGGAAAGACCTACATGTTTTGAATAGGGGACTGATTCATACATTTTGGCATACTGATCTCACAAAATCCTCGGTAACCATCAGAAAATTACAGTGGGGAACACTTCATGATATAGGAAAATGCCTACAAAATAATCTTAGTTGAAAAAGCCTGTTTTCAATGAACATGTATAATTTGTAATGAGGAAAAAAAATTAGCTTCATAAATTTTTCCTCTAAAATAAAGCTGGGGGGGGGGAGAATTCCCAAAGTGGTATCAGATCACAGAAGACAAAACCAAAAAAAGAAAAAAAAAAGACAAACTCATTGCTGTCGAATTGGATCCGACTCATAGTGACCCCTCCTTGGGTTTCCGAGGCAGTATCACTACGGAAGTAGATCGTCCAACCTTCCTTCCAAGGAGTGGCTGGTGGGTTTGAACTGCCAGCTTTCCGGGTAGCAGTCAAATGCCTTAGGCATTACGCCACCAGAGCTACCCACGAAGACAGGGTTCCTCTTTTTCTGAGGGCTTTGAAGGCAGAATGAGGGATTCAAATTAAATGCAAGGAAGAATTTCCTGGCTTTCCTGGATAGGAATGGGTGCGTGACAGGCACTGGAATGTCACCTTCCTTCTTCAGGGTCACATGTCCTGCCCTGCTTCCAGGGCTCAGAAACTGGATGAGAATCATGAGGAGGCAATGCTGGAAGCCTGAGCTTAGTCAGGAACTAGCTGGGTGCCCTTGGGCCAGTCTCCTCCCATCTCTGGCCCACAGCTTCCTCATTTTTCAAATGAGAGGGCACAGAGGATGGATTTGATCACCTCCCGTCCTGATACGATACTATGCTTCTGCCGAGTTTCTGTTTGGGGCACCAAGCCCAGGGCCCTCTCCTCCACCAAATGCAGAAAGTAGCATCACAGATGTCAAATCCAAAGTGGGGTCCCTGGCTGAGATGATATTTTTTTGTTAGTATCCTTAGGGCCAAGGATAGGGGCCCAGAGGCCACCTACATCTGATACAACCCCAGACAGCTACAGCAGCCCAGGCAGGGGACAGTCTACCAGATGCCACAAGAGGTGATCTCACCAAAGGTGGAGTAGCCTCTCTGCCTTTCATTCACAGGGTCTAACAGGCCAGGCCAGGGCTGGCCACCCCTACCAGGGCCAGCCTGGGCCAGCCTTTGCCAGCAGGAAACTCTGACCCTAATCCTTAATGCTGTCTCCATTCCCAGGCATCCACAAATCTCTCCCTGCCATCCCATAGCTGACTTCTCTCTCTTGCCTGAGCCATTGCTAGGGCTTCAAGACAGTAAGAAGACACTTGCCTCCAAGTGGATTGCGACTCATGGTGACGCCATGTGCATGCAGATCTGTTTGTACCACCCAGGAACTCGAGATCCCAGAAAGCCAGAAAAGAGAGCTTCTGATTCAGCCTCCTCACCTTTAGGCCAAAACAAAACCAAAACCAAAAACCAAACCCATGCCATTGAGTTGATTCTAACTCATAACGACCCGTTAGGTTTCCAAGGCTGTAAATATTTACAGAAGCAGACTGCCTCGGTTTTCTTCCACAAAGCAGATGATGGTTTCAAACTACCAACCTCTGGCTTAGTAGCCAAATGCCTTAACCATCATATCACCAGAGCTCCTTCACCCTTTATACGGATGAGGTAAACTGAGGCCCAAAGAGACAAAACTTGCCCAAGGTCACAGCTCAAGTCAACGATACAGGCAGGACTGGATCCTAGTCTCACCACACCCAGGATCTGCCCCACCCTGCCTGCCATCGGCTCTTGCATAAGCAACCCCTTGCATTGAAGCCCTTGGGTGGCGGCGGGGCTACGACAAGGCCTACACGTGCCACTCTGTCCAACCCCTCTCCTTCCTTCCCTGACTCAGCTACTCCAGGCTCCCTGGGGCTGCAGGCACTAATTTGAGGGCCCACAGCAGAAACATGAGAGCCCAGCGCCTCCTCCTCCTGGTGGCCCTCCTGGTTTTGGGGAGCCAGCTGCCTGCTGCCTGGGGCCGGAGGAAGGCAGGTGAGTGAGGGTAAGGTGGCTGGGAAGTTCTCGAGGGGTCTGGGGAAGCATCCAGCACTAGGTCAGAAGCTGCAAAGAAAGGGAGTTGAGTTGAAAATGAGACACACAGACAGACAGAAAGACCTGGTGAACAGACTGTGAAGTCACCTGTGAAGGGTTCACCCATCTCCTCTGCGAATCTCTGGCCTGGATTCGAGTCTTCTCCAGAGGCCAGGTGGTTTCCGTTCTCTGGGGAGAGTGGGGTCTGAGGAAGGCAGGTAATACAGCGAGAATGTGTGTGCGCGTGTGAGCGTGTGTGTGCCCGTGTGTGTGCATCCGTGGATACTGCATGCCGGCCCTCTACCAGATCTTCCAGCAGCTTGTGTTTTTTTTTTTTGTATCTCTGGCAGCCTGCCTATGCCTGTATCTGGATGGGTCTTTCTGCCAGTTTCTCAAGTGTCTGTGCCTGCCTATCATCTGCGCGCGTGTGTGTGTGTGTGTGTGTGGTCTCCGTGATGGTGGGTCCACATGGCAGGGTGATGACAGGCGTTCTCTGACCCTCCCTGTAACCCAATGCCATCTAGGGAAGGGACAGGAGAGCCAAGTGGGGGTGCAGTTTGTAGGGTCTATTTTGAGGAGGCTCAACCACAACAGAATCCCCTCCCTGGGGTGGGCCTGTTGACAAGCGAGGGAGGCGAAGCAGCCAGAATGGCTACACAGGTGCCTCCCCGTGTGGGCACGGTGCCTACCGCCAGGTCCTCCTGGGGTTGGGACACTCTGACCTACATTCACACCTGCAGCCTTGGCTCTGCCTTGGGGAAGAGGACAGTAATAGAACAGGACTCCTCTCTGGGGAGCAGTTCCTCGCATCTTCTCCTTCCATCTACTCTAACTAAGCTTCCTTAGAGGCAAGGGTCTCCTCCTGGGGCGTGAGCACTTTGGGGAGGAGGCTGCTCAGAGACCCCCCGGGCTGAGGAAGGAAGGGAGGCAGGAAGTCCCCAGGCCAGGCCCAGGGCCAGCTGTGATTCCCACACCGCCATCACTGCTCACTGCGACTCAGCAATGCTGGGCTGCTTTCATCCACAGAAGGACGCAGAGGCACAGTGGGAGAATGACTTGCCCAAGGCCACAGACTGACTCTGACCTAGAGTCAAAGGTGGCATTTGAGTGCAGGTCTCCCAAACGCACTCCTTGTAAAATGGGGTCTGACGCCTTCCTCAGGACTAAATGGTCTCCTGAGTAATTACGGCACTTCCGAAGGCCTGGCGTACCATCGGTGCTGCACAAGGGGGAACCTCCCTGCAGGGCCACGTGTGACATACTATGTGTACGTCTGACACATCTGTTATCTCCTGCAGCTGATCCATCCCCATCCTTCTCAGATTTCTCTCCCATACGGCATCTGTCCTGGCTCTCGGGAGAATTCCAGGCAATGGGAAACGATGACAGGGTTGAGGGAAGGGGAGTCCTGATTTGTTATCTGCGGAATCGCAGCCACCTCTGTTAATAAGCCCCCTTCCCAACTTACTCAGTGCCTGGCACGGCCCCTGGTACACAGTAAGTGCTTATATGCTATTGGTGAATATATCTGTGTAGTTTTGTGCTTGTGTTTGTGTGTGTATGAACGTGTATATGTGTCTATGTCTCTGCTCCACACATATATGTATTTTTATATATATGACTGTGTATGTGCACATGTGTATATGTAAACATCTGCGTACACATCCACGTGTGCAAGCATGTATGCTGTTGTTGGTAGGTGCTATCCGGTCCATTCTGACTCACAGCAACCACACGTGACAGAGCACATCTGCCCCACAGGGCTTTCCTGGCTGTATCTTTATGGAAGCAGATCACAGGTCTTTCTTCCTAGGTGCTGCTGGTGGGCTCCAAGCACTTAACCACTGTGCCACCAGGGCTCTTCGTAGGCAGTGTACATGACACTCTCTATATCTGTATTTAGACTATATGTCTATGTCCTGGTTCATATGAATAAATATGATTTCTTTACTTTCATTTATATTTATTTATCTTCATTTATACATACATAATAACTATCTATATGTCTGAATATAAGGAGTTCTGGTTAATGCAGTCCCTAAGGCATTTGACTACTAACCAGAAGACTGATGGTTCAAACCCACCAACCTCTCCCCAGAAGGATAACAGGCCCATTTACTTCCATAAAGATTTAGTGCCTTAGAAACCCAATGGGGATCAGAATTGACTTAACCGCAGTGTACGTATGCCTGAATGTGTATACATATTAGTTTGAACCACATGAAATTGCTGTTTTTGTAGATCAAACAAGTTGAATATCAGCAATTTCACATGGTCACTAGCTCTACAGTAAACTGTTTAATGCACCTATGTGTGTTGTCCATTGGATTCTCTGTGTGCATGCAGGTCCGTGTGTACAAACATATAAATATTTAACTGTATTTGGGTGTGGTAACTGTATTCCGAGTCTACACATCTCTGGGTAGAGTCCTTGGGTGGTGCAAACAGATAAGCATTTGGCTGCTAACCCAAAAGATGGAGGTCGGAGGCACCCAGAGGCTCCCTGGAAGAAAGGCCTGCAGACCTACTTCTTAACTGAAAGGTTGGAGGTAAAGTCCACCCAGAGGCTCCCTGGAAGAGAGGCAGGAAGTCCCCAGGATTTCTGGAAAATCAGCCACTGAAGACCCCGTGGAGCAGGCTCTACTCTGACACACAAGGTCACCGTGAGTCAGAGTCAACTCGGAACGAGCTGGGCACACATCTGTATGACAGTGTGTGTGCATGACTGTGCCACCATGCATACACCTGTGACGGGGAACCTGGCTTTGGAGGGAGGGTCAGGAAAGGCAGGTGAACAGAGTTGAGGGTGACTTTGCAGGCCCTCTCACTGTCCCTGCACACTCCACGTTTTCAATCCCACCTGCACAATTTCCACTTGAAATGCCACTTCTCATACTCCCTCATCTGTCTGTCTTCCCCAAGGTTCAGACCCCGTCCCCACCTCCCAGAAGCTCTCCCTGACTCTATCACCCGCCCAGCCTGTCCTGCTCCAGCCACAGGCTGCTGCCTGCTCTGAGTCAGGCAGCTCCTTTGACCCACTCTTCCTCTGGCCTGGGCTTGTGAGTTCAGGACTAAGCCCCGGGCTGCAGGTTGTCTCCCAGGTCCCATCCCACCTCCAGCCTGGGGGAGAAGCCACTCATCAGAGTAGGGGACGCCCTTACAGGCTAAGTTGCTCTTTCTCCAGAAGGGGGCAACAATTCAATCCAAACCAGCCCCATCCAATGGCTGAAGTGGAGCACTTCCTGAAGCGCCCCACTATGTATGCAGCCAGCACCCAGGCAGGAGGCTAGAGGCAGAAAAAGAAGACACTGAGGGAAATCACAGCATTGGATGCAGCCACTGCTGGGCAGTTGAGTGGAAGGTTGGCTGGATCCAGCCCCCTTCCCTAAGGCTCAGTGCCAGCCAGAGCCCAGGGTAGAGGAGGGCAGAGGGAGGATGACCCTGGGAGACAAGGATTCATAGGCCTAGCTCAGGCCGTGTGGGTCTCAAGTCCCTGCCCCTTTCACACCTTGGTTTCTCCCTCTCAGTGGACTGAAATACTGATTTCAAACCTTTGCACTGAAATCCCAAACTGGCCCAAAATCCCAACAAGAGAAGGGGTTACATGAGCCCTGGGACAGAACCATGCAGACTCTACAGCTAGTCGGAGAAACACCTCAAAGACTGAGTTAATACCCAGCCCCTGAAACAATGCCACCTGTGACAGTGACCAGTGCCATACAATGCAACGTCCCTGTGGCCACATGACAAGGCTGACAATTGCTGACATGCAGGCAAGGTTTCATCTCATGTCAAAGGCCTTGCTTTCTGAAAGTCAAGGAGCCCTGGCATTCTGCACCAAGCACTGTGCTAGGGTCTAATGGTGAGCAAAGCAGGCATGGTGTCTGCTCACACGGCCCCCTGCCAAGTGAAGGGATGCAGACACAGTGATTTAGGGGGACAGACTCTGAAAGAAGGATACTTGGGGAGTGTAAGGGGCAGGGGGGCTACGCTAGCTGATCTGAGCTGAGAGGAGGGCTCCCTGAGGACGTGAGGTTTCAGCAGATACCTAGGGAGCTGACCAGGTGAGCGGAGTGCAGAAGAGAGTCAGGCAAAGGCACACCCCAGGCAAGGGCCCTGCGGAGGGAAACGGTGTGGAGCAGATCAGGAGCCACGAAGCAGAAAGACGGCCAGAGGGATCCCTGGGAGGCAGGTGTCCAGCTTCCTGCTTCACCGACAGGTAACTGAGGCTCAGAGTAGCAAAGAGACCTGTGTCAATGGCAAGCAAGCATAAGGGTAGAGAGTTCAGTTGTGAGTCCCAGGCCTGCGCATAGCACCTCACCCTGAGGGGCCTCCACCTGCAAGATGTGGGTTTATTTTTTTGTTTGTTTTTTACAGAGAAATGGGGGGGCTGTCCGCCGGACGATGGGCCCTGCCTCCTATCAGTGCCTGACCAGTGCGTGAATGACAGCCAGTGTCCCACCCACAAGAAGTGCTGCTACCGAGCTTGCTTCCGCCAGTGCCTCCCCAGGGTCTTGGGTAAGTGCCCCACCCCACCCTGCTGACCCCTACACCTCCCGAGGCTGGTGGGCACAGGCAGGGCTCACCCAGGCCCCTGTGTTGCAGTGAAGCAGGGCAGCTGCCCCGAGGTCCACCTGCGCTGCCTGAGCCCCACACAGCACCTGTGCCACAAGGACTCGGACTGCTCAGGCCACAAGCGGTGCTGCCAGGGCGCCTGCGGGCGGGACTGCCGAGACCCTGCCAGAGGTATGGCTCCTGCATACCTGGGGCAGGTACCTCTGCTCTCAGAGCCCCAGCTTAACAAACCCAATAGGATACCTCCCCAGAAGCCCGGTCTCCCCGGGCCCAGAGTTGGAGAACGGGTTGGAGAGGGAGGGTCCTGTTAGGATGACAGAGGCACGGGAAGTCTTTGTTCTCTTATTGGACCTGCTGTGTGCCCTTCACCCCCTACACTGGTCTGGGCTTCAGTTTGCCCTTTTTGAAGGGGGTTGGAGTTCTGCCTTGCTGGGAGATTAAACTCAAACCCAGAGTCCCACATTGGGAGGTGTTAACCCTTTCCTTCTTCTGTCTCTCTGCAGGCTAATTCTGGTTCAGGATCCACAGCTCTGACCCTCAGGGTGGGGATCCCAGGAGGAACAGGTGACAGTGGGGGGCCTGGGACCCTGACACCCGGACAGCACCATCTCTGCCAACAGAAACCCCAACCTTCTGATCAAACACTGATCTGATGTCATTTCCCCTGCAACCTGCCCACCCCCGTGTTCCTCCTCCCAAGTGTCAAGGGTCTCCACAGTCTGACCTCGAAGGTGCTCCTCTCAATCCACCACCTGAGCACCCTATGCTGCTGCCACATGGAGCTTCTGGCCCCTCGAAAGCTCGCTTCTCTCTCAACCCTCTGCACGTGCTGTTCCTTCCACCTAAAATGCCTGTCCCCCTCTGCCTTTCCCTATTTTCTCCTTGACCTCCAAGTTCAAATCCAGGCAGCCCCCTCTTTGGGAAGCCCTGTACCCTCCTTCAGGCAGCCCAACCACCAAGAACCTATGTTCTAGCAGGAGTGTTTTAAGATTAGTCCACGTATGTACCTCTGTCACTATTTTTGCCACGCCTGCAAAACAGTCATGATATTTTGTGTACTGCCTGTACTCATATTTCCCTAATGTTTTTCTTCGAATGAACTCACTTTTGTATAGAAATAAATTTGTTTCAAAAGAAAACTTGGTATCACTACTATAAATAGGATAGTCAAGACTACTTGCCACAAATGGAATGTAACTGTGAAAATAAATGCATGGCACCAGTGAAGTTTCATTAAAGCAAATCATGTCAGGTTTAACTATATTAAATAATGTTACTAAAATCTAGCGAGACATTGCCACCTACCAAGGCTGTAAGCCTGAAGCCTACTCGCTATTTTAGAAATTAATCTTAAAAAAAAAAAAAAAAAATACTTACGGAATAGAATTGAGAACCCAGATATAGATCCATCAACCTATAGTCAGCTGATCTTTGACAAAGGCCCCAAATCCATTAAATGGGGAAGAGA